TTCAAGTTCAAGAAAGTAGTATGTGTGTGTGTGTTACTAATCATGATCAAAGTATGATATTTTTGTAAGGAACTTTCTCGGGAAAATAAAAATAAGATAGCTAAAATAAAAAAATACCGAGGTCTGTGAGAACACAGTGTACTTAAAACAGATTCGCTCCCTATGAGCGTATGTTTCCCAGGATACAATGAATAAACCGAAACAAATTCAGCGAATTGAAATTATGCCTTGACCAAAACACTTAAAAAAAAAAGGAAGAGATGAATTGTTTTCTTCTTTTCTCGTGTCTCCTTTTTAAAAGAAGACAAGTCTCCTTTTATAGGCATGAGATAAGCCATATGAATCAGTTACTTCATTTAATACAACACTTAATAAGATTAAGTTTAAGATAGTTTTAACATTAATAAAATAAAGTGTTTCAAAATCAATGCTTCAGTTACAAATTTCATTCACATAATTTTCCAACAATTTTAAATGTAAAATGCATATTTATTGGCTATGTGTCCTAATAAAAGATTTATGTCAAAACTTCTCTACTCCCTACTATATAAGTCCAAGTGATACTACACAATTTGACCACACAAAAACCCAAAAAACTCTTATCTCCCTAGCTACAAAAAAACTTTTCACATTAATTTGACAAAAATGAGTCTTGAATCATTTTGTTTATCACATAAAAAGTTGTTGGTGGTGTTTGCTGTGTTAATTTCAATTGTAGCAATGAGTCCAATAACTGAAGCAAAATGTGATTTTAGAGCAATTTTCAACTTTGGGGACTCGAATTCTGACACCGGCGGATTTTGGTCGGCCTTTCCGGCAGCAAATCCGCCCAACGGCATGACTTACTTCAAGAAACCGGCCGGACGAGCAAGCGATGGCCGGCTCGTGATCGATTTTTTAGGTATGTGTTTGCTTTATAAGGCATTTTTTTTTTTTTTTNTTTTTTTTTTTTTTTTTTTTTTGTCTGTGTTTACTTATGTTAAGAAGAAAAAATGATGGAAAATGATGCTATATACTGTTATTCATGTGTTCATTTTTTTTTTTCTTTTATCTGCAAATTTGCATTTTTGTGGCATGATTTTGTTTCATATTTGTCATTTTAGATAATTAATTAATAAGCATATAAAATACATCATTATGCTTTTTAATTGCACCTAAGAATTCGAGGAAACATCGATTAAAGGCAATGACATACAGAACACGAATACAAACAACAACAACAACATAGCCTTCAATCCCAAACAAGTTGGAGTAGACTAGAGATGAAATCTAATAGAACCAAACGAATACAAACACAACACAATTATAAAAACATAATTATAGAAACAAAAATGTTACACTAGGAGTAACGTGAAATGGAAAACTAAGCTAAATCTCAATTTAGTATTATACTTAAAAAAAAAAGAAAAAAAAAAGAAATAGATAACACGTAAACACAATAATAGAACAAGCACCAATTTATAACTCTTTAGTCAAGTAAATTGTAATTTTAGTTTTGTAAATTGTAATTTATAACACGTGACTATATTTGGTCGAGTAAATTGTAATTTTAGTTTTGTATAACTACCCTAATTTTTTCATCCTATTGAAATTGTGTTTTTTTTTTTTCGTCCCATATGTTCGCAAAAAGATTATAAAATGGTCATTTTTCAGTCATAAGGGACAAAATTATAACTTTTTTTTTTGCAAAAAATAAAGGATTTTTTTATTGCAAAAAGGACTTTTTTATTGCGAAATTACAACATACGGGACGAAAAAAAAAAGAACAATTCGAAAAGAACGAAAAAATGTACACTCAGAAACATACAGAATTAAAATTACAATTTACTCGTCCCTGGCTCCCTTTTTCCTTTCACATTGAAAAAACATTATTTGATACGTTCATAGGGAAGCTCAACAGATAATAGTTAAAAGACAAAAATTCCAACACAAATAGGCTAGCTGTCCAAAATGGGGCCTCAAGTCGTGTCCTTATCAAGAATAATCCAAATCAGGATTGGATCCTAGCTGATTCATTACTCCCATTGTTCAAAATCTTTAGCCCGTTAACAAATTAATAGGCCCAACTTGCACTGACGCATTCAAAGTCCAAATTTGGATGTGGGCTCACAGCACTAAAGGCCATATTTTGAAAATCTATATATTTTCGAAGCCATAAATTTCATTCAGAAAAAAATAGTTTGATGAACACTAATGTAAAAATGAGAGGGATTCAACTTACCTAAGTTAGTATATATGTTGGATATGTTTACCTCAAAATTTGGTTGATAGCTGATAGTTAATAAATGAGCATTCAGTTTATAGCTAATATCTTATAACTGATAAATGGAAAGATAATTGAGATAATAAAAGTATTTGACAAAATGCGGATAAGTCAATTGAAATAAAGAATAAAAAATAAAATAAGAAAAGTTATTCAAGGAGGCTTACCAGATAAGCTCCATATTTTTGAAAAAGTTCATCATCGTACCAAACAAAATTTATTTGGATGCCATAAGCTTATTAAGGTAACTAAATAATTTATAAGTTAACTTATAGAAAATCTAATTTTGTTTTCCTATTGACTGAAATAGGCATACATAGATTTTCAAATTGAAATGTTATACGCTTCCGTCATAAGTCATAATTATCCCAAAATGGATTTTAACAATTTCTAAAATGAATTTTAATAATGTTGAAAGTGAAATGTTTTAAATTTTAAACTATCACTAAATGGATTTTGACAAGTACTATAGACATTTCAATGCAATATTTTTTATTTTTCATTTTTTTTTAAAAAAAAAATTCTTATATTATTAAAAAAATTGTTATATTATTTATTTTAATGCAGCTCAAGGTCTAGGGCTACCATTCTTGAGCCCATATTTGCAGTCAATTGGATCTGATTACAGACATGGTGCGAACTTTGCCACCCTGGCATCCACCGTGCGCGTGCCCCAAACTTCCTTATTTGTGACTGGAGTTAGCCCTTTCTCTCTCTCCATTCAGCTCAATCAAATGAAGCATTTCAAAGCCCAAGTTGACCAATTTCATTCTAATTATTCAGGTAAATTTTAATTTATTATAAGCTCCTTTTTCTTCAGAAAGTCATATTACACAAACTAGCTAGCCCATAGATTTATAATCTCTCAATCATATGATATACCATTAATTAATTACATATATAACGTTGTAAACGAATCGAAGATCGCCTCGCGAAAGCTCGAGTTTGACCGAGCACAAGTCAAACTCAAGGACTTCAAACTCAAGCAATTTCGATATAAGTTCCAGTGCTCAATGAGCTGCATAGTACAAGTGTAATTTACTCAAATACCCTAGCTCGAGCTAATCTCGAGTCAAATTTGAGAAAAATATTTTGAGCAATTTTTTTATTGAAATTTCAAACCGATGAAATTCAGATTGATCTCGAGTATTTGTATATTTTTGTTGAGTCGAGTCGACCCTTCAAAACTCAAGCTCAAGCCGTAGTGAAAAAATTAGACCGTAGCTTGATAAGGTCAATACTCGTCTCGATTTAACTTATTTGAAGCTCTAACATTGATGTTTTCCCATTTCCCATTTTTGAATTTTTCTATAAACAAATTAGCATTGCTACTATGTTAGAGTAGTTCTTTAATAGGGTTTTCTACACTTGAAACTAATATATCACTCATCATACCATATTCAATTATTGATCGGTATGAACCAAAATATTTGTTAATATTCGGAATAATTTGTTCATTTATTTTTTTCTTCAACAGGAATAAACAATCTTCCTTCACCGGACGTGTTCGGAAAATCCCTCTACACATTCTACATCGGCCAAAACGACTTCACCGGAAACCTACCCTACATCGGCATAAACGGGGTGAAAAAATATCTGCCGGAGGTAGTCACCCTAATCACAAACACCATCAAGGTAAAACAATGCAATAACTATATATCACCAATTAAAGATTAAAATTATAAAGTTAATTAACATATATAAAACAATACTAGTTATAATTACTAATGTTGTTTAATTCTTTAGGAAATTTACGCGTTAGGTGGACGAACATTTTTCGTGATGAATTTAGCACCTATCGGGTGCTACCCCGCGTTTTTGGTCGAGCTGACTCACACGGCCTCAGACATAGACAAATTCGGGTGCATGATTTCTTACAACAATGCTGTGGTAGAGTACAATTCCTTGTTGAAAGAAGCTTTGAGAAAGACAAGAGGAGAAATTGATGGTGCAAATGTGATATATGTTGACACACATTCAGTGTTGCTTGATCTTTTCCAGCATCCATCTTCTCATGGTACACTCTTTAATTTCATTATAAGGGTATTCACTATTATTATTATTATTATTATTATTATTATTATTATTATTATTATTATTATTATTATTATGATTTCCAGGGTTGAAATACGGAACAAAAGCGTGCTGCGGGATAGGTGGCGCGTACAATTTCAACCCGAAAGTATTTTGCGGGAACACGAATCCGGTCAACGGGCAGAATCTGACCGCCGGCGCTTGTACGGATCCGTACAACTACGTGAGCTGGGACGGGATTCATGCGACGGAGGCGGCCAACAAGGTCGTAGCGCGTGCCATTCTCAACGGCTCCCACTTTGACCCTCCCTTTGCACTTCGTAGCCTCTGTGATGTTCAGCCAATTGGTTGACTTTTTCTTTTCCAAATTTTAGTTTTCTTGATTTTAATAAGTTATTATCACAAATTTTCATAATTAGGCAGGTCGACAAGACGTATATCTATAACAAAAATGCATATTTATGTCGTAAAATGTTGTACTTTATTAATATTGTTTTTAGCGTATGACATTCAGTTTGACAGTTTCATTTTCTGCTATAATCCATTCATTTTTTAGAATATGACATTTTAGTTTGACGGTGTCATTCGTCTTCTGCTATAACCGTAGCCAAAGGTTGTTGATGCATATAGCAAGTGATTAACTTCGATGAATATTATGTTAAAAAGTAACGAGATGTTGACACGTGGCTGGTCAACACATCTTAATTTTATACTATGGTCACTATGTGGAATATGAGTTGTCTTCAAAAGATAATACGATTTTGACACGCGGCTGATTGACACATTTTAATATGCGTACGATAGGGTTGAAGAACAATTTTGTATTTGATTATTATTATTATTATTATATTATTTATTATTTTATTATTATTAATAGAAAAGTTTTGGTCATAAAATCGGTGCATATGTTTACAAGAGAAAGCAACAGCCCAACAACCAATTATTGACCGCTATGCTTCCATTAAAAATTCACAATTTATTCCCCACACACTATATTTTCGAGACTCATCTTTTAAGTAGTAAAATATTATAGTCAATTTAATTGATTTGATTTAATTTGACAATCAGCATTTTTTTTTTTTACAGGGATCTTTCGGTTTCTGAATCCACAGGAAAACCGACTAATTCGGAATTGAGCCGGGTAGGACCACAAGGGCAGCAAAGTTCTCCCTCAAGAGTTTTTAACACTGCTGCATTCCTAGAGTTCGAACACAAGACCACTAATTAAACTGGAAGAGACCAAATCATCTCATCATCCAAGCCCATTTGGGTTGACAATCAACAATTAATGGTTATTGGTCAGGTGGGTGCCCTTAAAGGCCAAATAGTCCAACATGCTGCCGTCTTCAATAAAGCTTCCAGCACCATAAAGATTATTCTTACTACAAAACAAGAAAATAATAATTGAACATATTAAAGTTAGCTAGTTTAAGATTCTCTGTAATTTACTTTTTTTTTTTTTTTCCCATCGTGTATGTGTGTGTGTGTGTGTTTATCTTAATTTCTTGAAATTTGCACCCTTGTTTGATTGGAATTGGACATGTAGTTAGTTGCATTGGCATTGAATGTTTAGTTCTAACGAATTATGTTACACAATCATAATATCATGTAACGATTTTGTTATGAAGCCATCTGATGACTCGGTTTATGTAATCATTTATAGTTATGGATGACTCGTATATGACTTGTTATTGCAATTACCCATTAGACTTGTTATTGTAATATTACCAAAATCAAGGATTAAGATCTTATCAACACATGATTCGATAAATCATTCAGATAAAGTAGATTAAACCTATCCCGATTCATATGAAAAAAGAAAATTAAATAATTGTTATACACTTTACACGTGAAAGATCAACAGGAAAATAACACAAAAAATCAAAATCATGGAACAAAATTACTCTCAAGAGATGGTTGTGTTCTAATAGCAGAAGCCAGAGGCATTTTGCTATTTCCAATCCACAATGCCTCCAAACTCTCACTCTTTTCAGTTTCCCTCTCCATTTTCCCCACTTTTTTCCATTGCCACACCTTGCCCACAGAAAACCCACCCCAAACAACCATACCCAAACCCACAAAACCCCCAACAAAACCCAAAATCCACCACCTAAACACCCTTTTATTATGCCCTCCCTTTCTTGGCACAACAACTGAAAAATGCCCCTGCCCCCTGGCTACACAAGTGCCCATCAGGGTCAAATTGGTAAATTCCACCGTCCCGTTCGCGCCAAACCAGACGCACCTCATGTCCGCATTCCAACCGAGAGAAAGATTTTGAAAACGGACTGTAATCGGATTGTCCACTCTCAAATTAAGCTCGATAAGTTCGTTCTCGACAGGAATTACGTTCGAATCATAGGCCGAAAATCCTACTACGGACGTGACAAACGTGTGGTCCGGGACATTATAATAGAATGTTGACCAATTGCCGAGATTTTGATACATAAAGTCAACTCTATTCCTGTAGGGACGAGGAAGGGTTCTCGGAGGGATTCGAAAAACGCTCAAGTTAAGCCCGTTTGCCCATAAACGGTGTGTTCTTAAGCGGACGACCGAAATTTGAATTCCCGAGAAGTTTACGGGAGGAGAAAGATCGTACTTTCGGCCCGTACGAGGCTTAGGTAAAATGTTACCTAATGCATAATTGTAAAGAAAGGGACTTAGTGAATTTTGTGGTGTGAAGTTTTGTGAGGCTAACATTTGTGGCCATAGTAATGTACACAATACAATCCAAACTATCTTACCACCCATCAGTAGTTGCAAAACAAACTCTTCTTCATCCCTTTACTTTTTTTACATGATCTTGATACCGCGAAAATCGTGCGTGCACAACATGATCAAACCTTGTACATTTCGAAAAAATCCAATTTTTCGAAAGATTCTCGACCCCTTTTCGCGATTTTCTCTTGGTCGACTAGCGAATGGTGACGGCTCGTGAGTTTTTACGAGGCAATATCAAGAAATATCGAGTGTAATCAGATATTCTACGAGCGATATTATGAGTTTTGAGATCTATTTTTTGCATCAATGGCAAGATTTTGGGGGGAATATGTGCTAAGAATTAAGAACTAGATGGGTTTGCAATTGGAAGAAAAAAAAATGTAGTAGTCGAATATCTTTTGGTGATATAAAGAGGTGGGACTTTATATTTTATTATGGTTGTTGCATACTTTATTTAATGAATGAATTAGGATTAAAGGGATGCCCATAGCCCATCCTGAGTATTATATAAGAATTAGGGGAAAAAAAAATTAAACCGAAAGGAAAGGTAAGAGCTTTTGAGTTGTACTTTGAGTTGTACTGAGTTCGTGGATTTTGTTTAGTGAAATAGTGTGAGTTGGAATTTGTTGGAATGTGTATGATACGTAACTCATGTGTATATTCTAATTTGGGGAGATGTTATGCTCCCGTTACGGAATTATTTCGTCGGAATTTGTAATTGTTAGATCATCATGTAACCGTCAGAGATAGATGATATAACGGTTATAAACCCGACGAAATGGTTCCAACGGGACCATAGCATTTTCTTGTAATTTGATGAGTTGTTTTTCACAAACAATATATATTTAATTATTTATTGCTAGAGCAAAATGATCAATTTGTTCCACTTTTGGTGCAAAATGTGTGTGTGTGCGGGGTGGGGGGGCATTTTTGTCCTTTCAAGTGTGATTAAGGACTTGTTAAATTATGTCTATTCCCTTCATTAACAATTTAACCATTTAATTTATCACTTCAGGTATGCATTTCATAATAGAAATAAGTAATTTAGGTAGTGGGTCGATATCGGGCCAGCAAGCATTCTTAGTGGGTCAACAGTCCTTTTTTATTTTTATTTTTTTATTGCGGCGTGGAGTATTTGGGATTGTCGGCTGCGCTAGTAGATTATTGGGCCTTCGTTCTTCCAGTAAAAGTAAGTTGGTCTTAAATTATTTGGGCTTTAGTTATTCCAGTAAAAGCGAGTGGGCTTCTGAAAGAAAATTGCATTCGGCACATGATTACAGTAGAAAGCTTTGGATATTTTCAAAAGATAAATAATTAAATAAATAAAATCCTCCTCCCTATATATTATTCCCGAATGCGCTGAGCCTACGTGGTTGTTTCTGGTGCTTCAGAATTCTACTTGGCGAAGAATCATGCTTCGTAATTAGGTTTGCACAAATAATATTGATATATTAATAATTAATAATCTAGGTTCGGACATTCCATAAATATTATTTAGCTAACTTAGGTATTTTAATATCACTTTTACTAATATAACCCTTTAATTCTTTGTAATTTTACATAGCGAGACACTAAGTGACTAATATATACTTTTGATTTGTTTCCTTCAATTAGCTATTGAATTATAAATGTATTTTAAAAGTTGATAACTTTTGTATTTCTTATCGATTTTACATATATAATATATCAAATTAATCATCTTTTAATGATCTTCGATTTGACATCCATATTGTATATATGAAATAAATAAATCATATTTATTTTTATAATAATAAAAAATAATAATATTTATTAAAATTCATTAGAAAAATCAAATTATTTTTCTCAATTGATATATTTATGTTTAATGTAGTTATATGTTGTAAATTAAAAAATATTATAATATAACACAAGTAAGTCGCACAAATAAAAAAGTGTCATACTAAATATATAATAATATATATATATATATATATTTTTATAAAAGGTATTAAAATTTTCAATTACTTTATTTTCACTAATTTTAGATTTTAAGAAAAAATTAGCAAGCACCCGTATAATACACGGGCATTATACTAGTAACAATTATAGTAGAAACTTTTTTATGCATGTGTTTCATACATGTTTGGCTATATATTACAAATCAAATCATAACATTTACTCATTTGCAATAATGGCAACATTTCGATTTTGGCATAAAAGTCGCTAACTCTAGGGTTTTGCAAAACAAAACACTCGGCCAACAGATTGAATGTCGAATGCTTATACACGTTCATCTCGTTATATGATGTGAAGATTGGAGAAATACATACGTATCAGAAATAATTAAAAAAACAAAATTAGAGTCGTGGTTGGTGTCCTTATTTCGCACATCCAAAATTTCTAAATTTGATTGATTTTCACAAGTATTTGAATCAAATTCTTTTGTCGGTGGCATATGAATAGCCGAATTCACACCATTTTAAGGTACACAAATGAGTTAAAAATAAAAAAAAAATTATAATGTTTCAATTTTCTCAAATATTATAAATTGGGTTTTCGAAAGCTCGGAATTTTTTTATAGGATGAAGCACATTTCTATTTATTTATTCAACTCTTAAATGAAAAATAAAATTTAGTTGTGACGTTAGCGTTAAATTTCTATTTTATCTCAATGCGTACATTTAACTTTTGGAAAAACTACAATCCTGTCACGGAATGATTCCGTGAAAAATTTTAGCCTTTAAATATATATGTGAGTTAGTAGTTATTTTGTATAATTCATTACTAAAATCTCCCACGGAACCACTGTAGCACTTTTCTAAACTTTTTCAATGAAAAATAATAATTTATATGTTTATCTTGCAAAGATGGATTGTTTATTGTGACTTGTTTAGGTTTGAGAACAAACTGGACTGGATTATCAAGATAGACAACGGACCAATCAGGACCTCCAACTCATCCACGTGTCAGCCATTTAGCAGATCCCCATGGACCCGACAAATTATTGTGGATGTCAAGAAAATAAGCCCCCAAATAATTCTAAAAAAAATAAATCAGAGGAGATAAAGAAAGCGAGGCCAAGCAAAATAGACTCTGAAAATCAAGAAGGTATAAAGAAAGTAAGGCTAACCGCAATTTTTTTTTGCTGCTGCTCAGTTCATATTTGGGTAATTTGCATTTTCGATTTTTGGGTGTTTCTATTTTTGTCAGCCAATAAATGGCAGTGGCAGCTTCCACTTCAATGGCGGCCACCGCCGTGTTGATGCACCGCCTCCCGGCGACACGGAACGGCGCCGTTTTCTGCCCTCTGCCCCAACGTCCTTCTCTCTCGTCTGCCCCGCTCAATTTGCATAAAGGTACAAGCTTTTGGGGCTCTCCGTAATTTTTAGTTTATGGACTGCCCTTTACATTCAATGCAAAAGGTTAGGTTTTTGCGTGATCACTGGATATAAAGATTATTCGGGTCAGGAATTATTGTGTAAGGCGGCCTAACCATTAGACGGGTCGACCCATCAATTTTATTTTATTTTGTTCCAAATAAAAATGCGTTCTCCTTGAGTTATGAAATGACATACTTTTGTTTGTGTTGTTTTTTAGAATATGACATTTCAGTTTAAAAGTATGTTTGTCTAAACGTTAGCTGTGTTTAAGATAAGTCTTACTATTGGGTAATTATGCTACATTTTATGTGTTCAGGCGAATTCGTTTGATCGTGTTTTTGGAACTTGGATTTTCTAGCAAAAGTTAGTTTATTGGTTTGTTAGTGTAAGGATAGTAATTATCTCTTGGAATACAAATTCAAGCTGTGATTTTGAGTGCTGATTGTTGTCTTCTGCTTTATAATTTGAGGTCCTTGATGCTTGATGCTGTTAACTGCAAGTGTGATTAAGACATTTTGCATTAAAGCAGCACAAATCATCTTTTTGAATAAAGAAAAAATGTAAATTTGAAATGATTTTGAGTAGTATCTGACGCTGTTTACAACTGGATATAGCACAACCGTTATTGTTGTTTGTTCAGCTTCAGAAGGTACATTTTGTGTGTCGATTATCGATTATCGTGAGTTAGAAAATTAGTTCCCAGAGACAGAATACATGCTACAAAAAAGAGAATGTGTATTATAAAACTGTACCTCAAATTTTCCCAAAAAAAAAAAAATAAAAATAAAAAAAAATCCTGTTCTCATATTACTGTTGCTTATCTGCTTGGTCTGTGTGTCCTTTTTCTTCAAAAGTTTTTAGAAAAAAAAAAAATGTCGAGTGATGTCATTTTGAAACAGAGTCGGGGAGGTCCTCTCAGTTCCCAATCAAAGCCACATCATCTGATGAGAGCGCTAGTGCTGTTGATGCCAATGAATTGTTCAATGACCTGAAAGAAAAGGTAAATTATTCTCAAAAATCAAAATAATAAAACGAACGTGCACCTTTTATAGTACATCAACTTATTACATCAACATTGACTAAATTTATCTGTTGTGTTTCTATGTAGTGGGATGCTGTTGAAAACAAGACAACCGTGATTATATATGGCGGTGGTGCTATTGTTGCTGTTTGGCTAGCTTCCGTTGTTGTTGGTGCAGTCAACTCAGTTCCTTTGGTAAAGCTCTTCGAAATTTAATTTTTATTTTTTTATTTTTATCCTTTATAGTTAGTTAATTAATCCACATTCTTCTACTTCACAAAAAGTTAAATAAACGGAACTTAGTTTTAGTGTTGATTATGGGTTGTATATGAAAAAGGTTGTTTCATGTACAAATTTTTCAAAAAAGCAGTTATTTGTTATCCATAATCAGAAACACTCTAAAAATTAATATATTTTTACCAGCTAAAAGTGGAAAATTACATTGTCCCTCGCTCTATTTTGGAACTGATCACAAACACTCGTTTATTCAAGCAAGCTTTATAAAGTTTGTGGCTCGTTAGTTATATATCATATCATCTAACACAAGGCACTGTTTCTGTATGACTCGTGTCAGCTTCCGAAGATCTTGGAATTGGTTGGGCTTGGTTACACTGGCTGGTTTGTATACCGTTACCTTCTCTTTGAGGTATGAACTCGAAAGATGCAATCTTTTCTTCTTCTTCATGTCTCTGTGTGTGTGTGTGTGTGTGCTAGCTGGACATTTGTGCTTAAAATTCAGTCTATTTTAAGAAAATCTAGTTATCTTTGAAAAGTATGAATACCCCAAATTCTATGTATTGAAGAGGTACTTTGTTAAAATGGTACAAAAGGCTGTCTTTTACTTTTGGGTACCTAAATTTAAGCTCCAGGGCTAATTTTTACAGTCCCCTTACGAAAAAAAATTCGAATTTCAATATTGCTAACTACAAATGTCCCTAAAACCAAATCTCAGGAGTTCCTTAACATGATTGGAGGCTATTTATAAAATCTTACTGTTACACAGTAACATAATCTGAACATATCATTTTGCTGCTGGTGTGTTGTCGTCAAACTTGGTTTCATGCAGTCGAGTAGAAAAGAATTGGCATCGGACATAGAAGCACTGAAAAAGAAGATTGCCGAAGCAGAATAAGATTGCGCTGCCACGATATTTTCGTCAGTCTGTTTCAACCTCGGATTTGTCTAACTTTCGTATATTTTGTGTAAGAGGGATCATATGCCGTTGTATTGCATTTGAAAATAATGCTTCTTTGATTTATGTATACGGACATATAGTCGATTGTGTTAATGAAATTCCATATTATCTACACATACACAAGAATCATAGCATGGTCCAATATGATTGAAAAAAGTCCTAGTTAACTTTCAATAAAATGAACTCGAGATTTGAACTTTGAAGTCATTCTCACATATAAGCAAAGCTAAACATTACAGCATCAACTAAAAGTCTTGCCATACATAAAAAAGCTTCATCATGTATAAACTTAAAATACATTACTAACACACAAGGGAAATCCCCTCGTATATTTGTACTTTCATCACACGACATATAATAAATACTCTCCAGTAGCATTACTATCGTTATTGATTTATTATAAATATTGAGAACAAAGGGGAAAGTCTTGAATTACTAGGACTTTGAGAATTTCAGAGTTTGTCGATGTCATCATCCTCGAATTCGATGTAATCATCAGCAGGCCCATCATCTTCCTCGTCAAGCCCGCCTGCAATGCCCTCGTTCAGCCTCGTGCCCTCTGGCAGCTCACCGTAAGCCTTCAACAACCGAGCCTCGTCAGCCATGTATTTCAGTATTACATCCGCTTTATCATCCTAAACAAAACCAAGAGATAATTAGACGAACAAATCACGATACAACTGGTAAACACACATGGAGATGGAGTAGAAGATAAAGAGATGTTCATGTGTGTGTGTGTGTTTTGATTTATCTTGTTCACTATGTACTCTTTCAAAAAATAAAACCAGAAGAATAGCTGAAAAAATTAAATAAACGATTAAATAATAGCCTGCGAAAGAGCAATCGTACACGATCAAAACTAGCAACACTCACAAGCTTCAACGTATGGTAAGTTTTGAAAGGAAATACTGCTGAATATCTGTACTTTCCTCATCTTCTACAGACTTCTCCAAATAATCAGACTAACCAAAACAGATAATTACGAAGAAAGATTCAAAAGTAAAAGAAGAGCACCAAAATGGAAGATCAAGAAGAAGAAAAAGAAGAATTTTACATCAAAAGGAAGTCCAAGAATTTGCACAAAACCAAGCCACACGAGTTAACTCATGATTTAAAAAAAAAAAAAATCGAACAAGAGCGCATAGCATACTCAGAAACATTGTCGAACTATTTCAACAGCACCAAAAATCAACCCAAGATCCGAACAAGCTAAAAGTTAAAGCCTAAATGTAAAGCCAAACGAGTTAGCTCATGATTTGAGCAGAACCAGGCCATTCGAGTGAACTCAAGATTTGCGCAGAGCACAAAAGGAGGACAATAACACATACTCAGACACATAGTCCAACTATTTCATCAGCACAAAAAATCAACCCAAAATCCGAATAAGCTACAAGCTAAAGCCTAAAAGTAAAGCCAACGAGTTAGCTCATGATTTGCACATAACCAAGCCATACGATTCAACTCGTGATTTGCACTGAACACAAAAATAGGACAAGAGCACATACTCAAAATTTAAAAACATAATCGAACTATTTCGACCAATCAACCCCAATTTACTATTACTACAGCACAAACAATCAACCCCAAATCCAAACACAACGAAAGCTTAAAATTAAAGCTCCCCAAAAAATTATACTCTTTCACACATAGAATTAACCTAAAATAAAAAGAAATCAAAGCACCGGAAAATCAGAGAGGAAGCGGCGAAAACCTGATAATCGCGGAGGCCGACGAGGATGATATCACCTGCGGCGATCCAGACCTTCTTGTGCATCTTACCGCGGATATGACAGAGGCGCTTGACGCCGTCGATGCACATGGCCTCGCACCTGCCGTTGCCGAGCATGCGCAGCACCTGGGCGTACTCCTGGCCGTCCTCCTTGAACACGAGCTCCCTCTTCTCATCGTCGGCCTCGTTCTTACCCCTCTTACGATTCTTACCTCCCTTACCCTTGTTCTTCGGCATCTCGCCGGCGTACAGGAAACCCTAGATCCGACGGCTCACCCTTTTTCCCGACGATCCTTTTCTTTCTCTCTTTCTTTTGTTAAAGAAAAATATTCGCAAGTGGTACCTTTAACTTGAGGCACGCGTTAGCTTTATAGCCCTTTTCTTTTAGCTCTATTTTTCATTTTATATAGTTTTTAAAGCCCAGGTAGCAATGATATATACATTACACTTTTGCTATGGAACTATCGGACGACTCAGCTTATGGCGTCATCCACAATTATTCACAAATAGTTGTCGGAGCAATTCTTGCATAAGATGGATGTCTGTCATATTCCTCCTATTGACATGTGTCCTACAATAAATACACTTTGTACATGTTTCAATACGTTAAGTGATCGACGACTCCATAAGAAAATCATTCGATGGCTCCATAGAATTTTTGATATACATTAATAGTAGCAAACTTCAATGATATATTTGCATCTAAAGAAATTTCGTGGACATATATGTACCTTACAACAAACATTGGGGATATATACATTAATAGTAGCAAACTTTAATGATATATGTGTACATAAATAAGCTTCATTCATAGACATATATGTACCTTACAACAAACATTGAAGGTGTTTTTGACCCATTTTCCTAGTTTTTATTTTGGTGAAAGCAATATCTCATTTATCATTCTACATTTTTTTATAAAGCCCAACGAACGCTAAATCAAAATGCGACGCGACATGATAAGCTACTCGAATAACATCATGTTCAAGTCACCAGATACGAATTTTTTATAAAACATGTATAGAAGGATAAAAAAATAGTTGATGTATTCCAATAAGGTCCTTTCATTAATTTGTTTTTTCATATTATTGTATATGTATACTTATTTAGACAATTTTATTATTTCTCTTTTTGATCAATTGAATTTATTGATATTCTAATCATCACCTGTTGATTATATTAATCAATTAAAAACAATTTTTTTAGTATTCAGCACAATATAAGTTATTTTAAAGAAAATTTTAATCTTACATATGGTGTGATTTAAAATAGTAGTTATCCAACTTTCAGATAACTTTTTAAATGTAGTATTTCTCATGAGTACCCTTAACTTGGTGATCATGCTATACACAAGAGGAACAAAATACAATATTAGCAAACAACATATGTACGTAAGTAGAGAGTAAACTCGGATATTCTTCTTCTCCAAATCTTCTATTTTTTTTATCTTCTTTCATAAAATGATATGGAGCCAACAGAAATTCATCTTAACAGGACTCGCAGCTTCAAATTGCACAAAGAAAAAAAGTGGGTTAACAAGAATCACATCTCCCAAAAGTACAACTATCTACAGCACGTCACACTCCCACAACCTTGTAAGCTTCTTCTATCGGCTGATGATACTACTGCCCAGCAAAAACCACACATTTACCAGCACAGATCACAACATACAACCTCGTTAAAAGAGTCTCAATTCCCAGAAAACCTCAAAATAGACAAAAGAAACCGAAAAGTAACTCAATTAACACACATCACTGCCTGATGGTAAGCTCGGCCCGCAAATGCAGCACCCCACCAATAAAATACAGGCTATCGTCCGCCATGAAAGAAGTCCACGGCACACTAAACAAATTCCGGTACCCAACAGCCTTACCACCCGTAAACGTATAATTCCCTTTGTACTTGCTCACATAATCCTCCGTGGGCCTCGATCGGGCCGCAAACTCATAATCGACCGCGAAAG